CAAAACGCGGAACAAATCTTGCTGGGTAATTTTATAAGACTCTCATCAAGATGGTAAACAATTGGTATTTTGCTTTTTGTAATCAAATATTAATAATAACATTAATATTAAATATATAATTACAAGAAGATGTCAAGGCAGCATGATTGAAACAATTCAAGTATGCGATGTTTGATTATCGAAAATTTACAGATGTCAAGGCACACATGCTACCTTGAACACTTTACATTCATTCCTTTACATTCCTCGTGTACATAAGGCTAATCTGACTGCAAGGCCTCCAATGATACAATGATGTTGTTAAATTTCCAGGGGGGGTGTAAGGCCCTGGAGTTTACTGAGACTGCATCAATCGTCAAGGACGCTTTTGACAATCTTCCCTATGTTAACCGAAAAATTGCCTGCAACAATCCTACCTCTAGGGTAAGGATGGATCTGTGTCCAAGAAGTCACAACTCTGGAGGAATATTAAGAGAATCAGCAACCCGTTTCAAGCACAGGAGGAAATTTGCAATTCAGAGCGGGGTTGGTGACCCTGAAATTGCATTTGGGCTCTGGTGTTGTAGAATAGTGTTTGTTTTTATAAATTAATCATTTTCCCAAATTTTCTGTTCTTTTAATTTTTATTTGATCAACTGAATTTGTTATTTTTTAAATAGGGGCTTTTGTCCATATAACCTCCTATCCTAGGTTGGAGGAGTGTAGCTCAATGAGAGGGGAAGATATGGGAAGTTTTTGTCAACCATATAAAAGCCTTCCAACATGTTCAATCGCCTTGCTTGTGGAAAAGAAAAAGTTCCATGGGGACAAGGTGTGCATTGCACTGCAATTGCATGTTTGTGATGGGAAATTTTATATTAAATCTGACACCTGTAATCAATGTCATCAGATTTATTATTCTATTCATAATGAACCATACAATGGAAGGGAAATATTTTTTTTGATCCTCCTATTTATTTATTCTTGTGAACCCTAGAGATCTGGGTAGAGACACATTATTAAAAGTTTCATTCATGCATGGCCTTGGTATTATTACTACTACCTGGGTGATACAATTGTTTGTTATGTCAATTGTAAGAATTACTTTTCTTCAATAAAAACAATATTATAACAGTTTGTCAAACAGGTACTTTAATTATTGTAAAAATACAAGTTATCTTTATTAACTTAAAAATGATTGGCCTTGGTATTATTACTACTACCTGGGTGATACAATTGTTTGTTATGTCAATTGTAAGAATTACTTTTCTTCAATAAAAACAATATTATAACAGTTTGTCAAACAGGTACTTTAATTATTGTAAAAATACAAGTTATCTTTATTAACTTAAAAATGATGTCCTTTATATAATAAAATTACATAGATTGATATAATATAATAAAATATAAATATAAATAAAAGATTGATAAAATATAAATAATAATAAATAATAATTAAAGACATGAAATAAATTTGTTACAAATAATAAATAATATCAACTATGTGTCACGTCTCCAGATCAGAGCTGGAAATAGGGTCTGAAAAAAAATGGAATGCTAAAAATTTTCCAGAAGAAAATTTTTTGGGTTCTAAAATTTTTTTACTTTATTCTTCTGTTTTTACTTTGAAAAATTTTACTAAGAGCATCACTAAAATCATAACCAAATAAATCAGTACCTTCTAAACCAACCATCATTAATATGTGCAATGTGTCATTTTCCATTACACTACATTTGATAATATTCTGTTTGCTAAAACATTTTTCACAATCTACACTAGAAAATTGAATTGAGTGCACTATTTCTATAAGTTTTAAGATATAAATAAGACTTGGAAGTTTGGAAATTGGGATATTTTTTTTTTGCCATCCAGTAAATATTAATTATATGTTTGTTACCATTATTAATGGCCTTTTTGGAAGAATCATGCATGGTTATTCTTGCCTTTTCTAGAAGCAAAACATCTTTATGTTGGTTTGAAAGTGCATGAGTTGCTAGAGCAGTAGATTTTGAAACATTCTTTGATCCTAAATATTAACATTATAACATTAGTAAATTAATAATTGCAAAATGCAAAATTAATTAATTATATCTATTAGTTACCTTTTCCTCAAATTGATTTTTTTTTCCATGTGCTTTACAAATTGTGCAAAACATTCTCTTTGTTGCTGCATCATATTTTAACCATTTATATATGTTTAACCATTCATGCTGAAAACTTCCTCCTGATTTTTTAAAATGCACTTTTTTATTTGACATTTTAACATGCTTTACACTTAATTCACTGTCTTTTCTTTTTTTATTTGATTTTTTGAAGTATCATTATCATCTGAACCTTGAATTGTCAAATCATCTAAATCTTCTATATCTGATTCAACAATATTTGTTTCATCTATAAATGTTTCATCCCAAATTTCAGTATATAGTCAAATTATCTAATTCTTCTTGTTCTATACTAATTATTTATTTATAATTTATTTTTTGAATAAGGGAAAATAAAACGTGTAAATATATATTTTGAAATAGATATTAAATATGTAAAATATAAAATATAAATTAAATAAATAATTCCAACAAAAAATAAAAAAATATATATATATATAAATATGTAATGACATTTTTTCATCAAATGATCTGTTATTATTATTATCATCATAAAGAGAGTGAACTGTATATCATCAATATATTTATATTCTAAACCTTTTACCTGTCATTTCATTTATTGAATACATTGTAAGAGTTTCTATTCTTTTTTTAATTTTGTTATCTCATTTTGTAATTCTTCAATTGAAGCTAAAGAAAATGAACGAATTGAAAAAATAGAAATTTTTGAAATTTTGTTGCAGATCTTTTATCATGTGATAATAATAAAGAGAATGCAACGTGACATATTAATATAGACTTATTATCAAAATATAAAATTATAAAACACATAAAATAATAAAAACACAATTCTTTGTAGTAAATACCCTGTCTAGAAGGTTTCTGTGGTTCATAAATACTTTTTCTGAATTAAAGTATATATATACTTGTATGTCTGCCAATTCCTTGGTAGACAATTAATTACCTAAAAATTAATACAATGGAAAATCATGAAAACTCTGCAAGATTGCAAAATGGACTTGAAAATGTCAGTAATAATGACGTTGATTCTGATATGAATTTAGATCAAAGTGAAGATAAGGATTGGACTGTTGTCAAAAGAAAGGAACGTTTTATTGTTCAAATTGAAGCTGAAAATGTCCCTGGTGGTAATAATAATGCAAAACTTGCATCAGCTTCAAAAGTATTATCAAACATTCAGCCCCTTGTTGGCTTAAATATTAAATATATTAAAGGAATCAAATATATTGTAGCAACCTTTGGAACAAAAGAAAATGCAGATAAGGCATGTGAACTACCTTTTGCAGAAAATAGTGACTTTAAATTTCAAACACATGAAGAAATATCTGTCCAAGATTATCGACAAAGAACTATTAGCATAAGAGATTTACCCTTAACTGCAAAAAAAGAAGTTTTAATGAATATTCTATCTTCTTATGGAGAAATTACAAATATTAAAATGAGAGCACAAGGAACTTGGTATAAAGCACAAATTACATTCAAAGATAAAGAATCCATGAGCAAACTTGGTGATAAATGGTCAATTATGTACTTAAAAGATAGTTGTAGAATTGCACCATTGGATGTTACCAAAGAAGAAATAGACGAAAGAAATAGTTGTACTCTAAAACTCACTAATCTGCCATTTGGCACAACAGCATATGATTTACATGATATTATGTTAGCAGTAAAGGCTAAAACTTGTTTTATTACAAGAACAAGACAACAATACACCAGAAAAAGATTTGCTTACATAACTTTTGAAAATGATGAAGATATGAAAAATGCATGTCTGACAAATTTTGCCTTCAGAAACAATAATCTCTCTTGGGAAAGTGATGAACACAAAACATGTCATAAATGTGGTAACAGTGATCATTTAATAGCTGTTTGTCCAGAAAAAGAAAAAAATGATGAAATTAAACAAAAAAATGCACGTCTGCAAGGACTTTATCATAAATATAGAGTTCCTCAGCCAAAATCAAATTCACAAAAAGCTCAACAAAGATTTATTGAACCAAATAATTCAATTAAAAGAGTTTCTTATGCAGAAAAAACAAAAAATTCAAAACAAATATTTAAACAAAATGAATCAAATTTAAAAATGAATGTTAATAATAATATTAAAAAAAATGAGAACATAGTAGAAATCATGAAAAACATTCAAAAAGATTTAAAAAAAATAATGCTAGACATAGAAGAAGTAAAGAAGAGAGTAGAAGCATTGGAGAATAATGCTGGCACAAATTTATCAAATACTTCAACTCAACATAAAACAACTGAAAATAAATTTCAAAATAACTCATCTAAAGTTAATTCACAAAAAGGAAATAATAAATTAGATATTTCAATTTTGTCAAAAGGAAAAAATATTCCTTCTACATCCAAACATACACAAAAAAGAAAAAAAATGAATGAATCAAGTGATGAATCTCTTAATGCAGAGATTAATGATGAAATAAATGATGAAATAAATGAATTGAAAATTAAACAAAATAATATTGAACACAACACAAAACAAATGAACGAAAAAATAAACAAAATCCTCAATATTTTTGAAAATCAATACCAAAATAATGATGAAATGGATCAAGGTGCTATTAGCACCAGTCAGAATAAATTTTAATTAATTAACTTATGATTAACAACAATAATTCAAATAATATGGGTATAAACAACATAACCAATACCCAAATAAATTTTAACAATAATGAAAATAACATAGAAATAAAAATTTTTCTTTCAAAAATAAAATTTACCCCGTGGCGCAGTAAGGAAAATTAAAAATTGGAAGAAAATAAAGAAAAAATAAGGAAGAATCTGGCCCAAAGGCCACCGAAATCGAAATTACTACAGAACCAAACCAAACAATTAACATTAACAAAAGGAAGAAAGGAAAAAGCACAAACTATAACAACATGTTACAAAAGTCCATTCACAATAATAAATCAAAAAATAAAAGACTCAAACATTTCAATGAAAAGGAAACTCACAAAGAAAAAATAAATTCAAGCGAAGACGAAACAAGAATGAATCTTACAACCCACAAAGGGAGGACAGGAGAAGACCCATTCTGGGGTACATCCAACCCTAACTCAAAAAACCAATTATCCAACATTTCCAAAAACTCTAACAATCAATTAATATCCAAGATCTATCAAGATAATCAAGAAAATCAAACAGATACAAACAAAAATTCTGAAGATACTAACATAGATAATACAATATCATCAGAAATTACTGATGATTTAATGTCAGATAATGAAACAATTGAAGACAATACCTCTAGCATGGACACAAATCAAGAAGAAACAGATCAAAATTTAGTAATAATTCAACTGGATCTTTTCAACAAATTAATTGGAAATGGAGAAGGTTTTATTGAACTAATAAGAATAGGTAGGAAAAATATAAAAGTAGAATCTACAGTAAGGTTGCGGGAGAAACTCCTCCAGAAATCAATCAACAGAGTTTCGACAGGTTACACATTAATTGTTTATTAGAGTTTCGGCAGAGTTTCGCATTTGGGGTTTTCGCCAATCATCAGAGTTTCGACAGGTTACACATTAATTGTTCATTAGAGTTTCGACAGAGTTTCGACAGTCATTAAGAGGTTTCGCCCACAACCTTAATCTACAGTAACAAAAGGTCAGATCCCCCCTGCTACACTATACATGTTAGAATGTAATGATACATATTTTTTCAAATCATTCACAAATTACAAAAATGGAATTAAACCTGAACACCAAAAAGAATTCGAAAAAATCTTTTTCAACTCAACAAATGTCTACAAAAATACCCATGAACGAACCAAACTAACTAAGAAAGAAAAAGATAATGTTTTTAAAATGATCAAAATCAAATTAGGTTGGGCTTATTTCAATCAAATTGAATGGAAAAACATCAACCATTCAGATATCATCAGAAAACTACAATATATTGCTGGCTTTGTAGGTAAAAAACAAAATTTTGAATACAACAAAATAAATCTTGCCCTAAGAGAAATCCTGAAAGAAGAATTACCAGATCTACCATCACATCCAAACTTAATAGATAAATCAATCAAAGTCAAAATTCCATACGAACTACCACTAATATACCACCATTTAGCAAACCAAACAAAAAGAGCTTTAAGCAACTATATCAACATCAAAACCAACAAACTTCCTGATTCATACATAAAGGTATTACCAATACTGCCAAATGATCCTGGAGAATTATCAGTAGAATGGAAAAAGATTTTTCCAATCAAAAAATATTCCATGTTAAAGGAATTAAGGAATGTAAGAGAAAAATTAAGGGTAGAATATTTTTTCTCAGGCAAATTACCAGACACATATTTTAATTTTCCAAAACCAAGAGAACTTCTACCATTTTCTCCAAAAGGTCTACCAAATTACTTAGCACAATACTTACCTTTCAACTCAAATAGAACAGAAAAAACTCTTTGTGAGATAGTACAAGAATTAAGGGAATATTATATATTCAAAAAATTACCAAACAATTATTTTACTCCTAAACCAAGACCACCTAATTCACCAGATAACACAATTTTCAATTATATATTCCCAATCACTGAACAAAATACTGCCAATGAATTCATTAAAGAAGCAAGAAGAAAATATGAGATCATATTCCCTATTAATAAAAAATGGATAAATGTTCCAAAAACAACCACTAAAAATAAACCTTTTCTTCCTAAAAACATCAATGAACTGGATGCACAATTCATTGTAGATGAAGAAATAATTCTGCCTATTACAAACAAAACTAATATAAGAAATATAGTAATAAAACTAGGTAAAAAATATTTCTTCGAAAGAATTCCTGATGAGTGGATATCAATAGAAAAAACAAATGATAATATTGATACACCTGCTTTAGAAATATCAAACATAGAAAGAAAACAACTACCTGATCTAACAACAACAACACAAGAACTTGACAAATACAATATAAAAATTACAATACCCATCATAGATGACAAAAAAATCCACCAAACAACTCAAACCCTCAAAAAAATTTACATTTTCAAATATCTCCCAGATACATTTATTAATCTTCCACCAATCCCAAATCCAGGTTGGGACTCAATTATATTTTAATGAGTACTCAACAAAACCTGCAACAACCACCCCCAAACAAAAACCACCAAATTTATAAACAAACCAAATATAAACAACCAACATCATTACATGCACCAACTGCAATCTACAATAACCAACCAAATATATATCAAGAAGATATAAACAAAATCAATATCACAACAAACAATGTCAATGGTCTAAAAGATCAATTAAAGATACTTGAGATTATTAATGAAATACAAGAAAAAAATATAAATATATATGGTATTAGTGAATCTCATCTGAATGAAAACGAAATAAACCAAATAAAACACACACTAAAAAATTACAACCTTATTAGTTTCTGGACACCCTCAGATGGCAGGAAAGGAGGCACTGGCATTATAGTAAATGGAAATGTATCTAAACACACCATCAAAACAAAATCAATAGATAACTACGTCACAAGCATTGACGTTTTTTACAAACAAAATAAATTAAATATAATGCAAATATACATACCAACACTTGAAAAACAAACTGCAAGAAAGGAATTAATAACAAAAATAATCAAAACACTCAATGAAAACAAAACAAAAAAAAGAAACACAATTGTGATGGGTGACTTTAATGCCATCATTAACCCAAACATAGATAAAACACCACCATCAAAAAAGAATAACAACAAGTCAAACCTCATTGAATTCCTAATCGACAACAATTACATAGACACCCAAAAATACGCATTTGACAAACACACTGAACACACATGGCAAAGAAATGCTAGCAGCAGTAGAATTGACTTTATTTGGGTAGATAACAATATATTTGATAAAATAACAAAAATTAATAAACCTTATATTCCCAACTACAAAACAGATCATAAATGCCTAAGCATAGATTTAAACATAAAAATTAAAAATTGGAAGACAACATCAAACATAGAAAGATATGTTTACAATTGGGAAAATACCAAACAAATTAACAATTATAAAAAGAAAACCAACAAACTTGCTGCAAAAATCAATGAAAATAAATCCATACTAAACAATATAGAATCTCTGTGGTCCTTGATAAAATACAACTTGATCAAAGCAAGTGACAAAAAAATTACAAAAACAAAAATAACAAATTATAAAAACACTAATAACCAAATTAAAAATAAAACATTCAAAAACATCAAAAATCTTAAAAAACTTCTCACAATCCAAGATATAGATGCACTTAAAATTAATTTCAACAAATATAATGAATCATTCCCCCAACAAAATGAAATTTTAAAAAACAAAATAATAAATACAAATAACAACAAAGAAATTAAAAACCTTATTAAAAATCACATTACAAACCTACAAACCATAATCAAAGAGGAATTGAATAAAGAAAGAATGACACAAATTAAAAAATCTATTGAAGCAAGAAATGAAGATTTTTTCACTAACCAAAAAAAATTCTACAACAATATCCTTAACAAAAACAAAAACAATATTAAAATTGACAGAATAATTGAAAACGACATGATTATTACCAACCCAAATATGATCAAAGAAAAAATAGAAAATCACTTCTACAACTATTTTAAACATAATGAATTACCAGATATTACAGAAGACAATGAATTCTGGAAAATCCTTCAACCAAAAAATACACACAAAGAAATACTTCTAAATATTCTAGACAAACCCAAAGAAGAAGAATGGATCCCCATCATTAAACACTTGCCCTCAAAAAAAGCTCACGGACCTTCTAACATCTCGTATGAACATATAAAACATGCTCATTACAACATGCAGAAATTAATTATACACTTAATATCATTGTGCTATAAAAGCAACAATATTCCAGAAGAATGGAAAACATCACATGTCTATCCAATCCCAAAAAGAGAAGATTGGGGATACAATATTAATATTATAAGACCAATTGCTATCATTGAACCAGTCAAAAAACTCATGACAAAAATCTTAACAATAAGAATGGAAAAATTAATCAGAGAACACAATATTTTAAAAGGCTATAACTTTGCTGCTCAAAAACACTCATCACCACAAATCCCAATACAAATAATAAATAACACTATTGAACATTGTCGGGATACCAAATCAGAAACATGGATAATGTTCCAAGACATGTCAAGGGCATTTGATAATGTAAACATTGAAAGACTGATCATTACTCTCAAAAGAATAGACCTCCCAGAAAATTTCATAAATTTGATAAAAAATATTCATACTGGAAGGAAAGCAAAAATCATTACTCCATTTGGCCTAACTAACCCTATATCAATTGAATCAGGAATTGAACAAGGAGAAACATATTCACCTTTATTGTGGAAATTATATTATGATCCTATATTACAATACATACAAGAAAATGCACACAATAACTTACTAACAATCCATAACAAGTCACCATCAGAGACTTTACATCAGAAATCACAAACAACAATCACTATCCCCCCACTTGCATTTGTTGATGATGTATCATGGATTGCCAATTCCAGAAGTGCCATGAAAAATATATTGGAAATTACTCAATGGTATAATATACTAAACAACATCCAAGTCAATTTAAAAAAATCAGATTTATTAATTCTAAATTCAACACATGATGATCTTACCCTTAACAATGATCAAACAATTTCTGTTACAAAAAATAAACCCATCAGGTACCTGGGAGTTTACTATGACAATAAAGGCAGCAGTAAACCCACTTTTGAAAAAATAGTAGAAAAAATCAAAATATTTACCAACATCATAAAATATAAAAAATTAACATACAAACAGTTATTTAAAGTATATAATACAACACTCAAATCATCAATTGAATACCTAATACAAATTATTACACTCAACAACAAAGAGATATCAACAATAAATAACCTTATAAGGAAAATTTTCAAATCAAAACTCAACTTCCCAAAAAACATACACAATGACACTATACAAAATTTTATGCTTGAAAATGTACAACCAATTGAAGATATATTCCTCATAACCAATACAAGAATCTTGTATGACATTATACACTCTAACTTCTCTTTGCTCAAATCTTTAATAGACATACGTATAAAAGATTGGAAAAGAACTGGTTGGTTTCATAACATTGACATTGAAACATTCAGAAAATTCTCCAAAGACACCAAAAATAACATGGTTGCATCCATCATAACAGAATTAGCTAAAAATAACCTAATCATTAAGAACCCAAATAACTCATATCTAGGAACTGAACACCCCAATTTTACTGACATACATAAGACAGTTGACTATAAGATCCTCACAAAAAACAAAAAGGCATTTAAACAACACAATATAATCTTCCTAGAACAGATTACCACACATGATAATAGAAATATATTACCATGGAATAAATCTACATCAGAAAATTTGGAACTAATAAAGCACGAAAGGAACCTAAATGGTTTCAAAACATAACAACAAAATTCAACAGTCAAATAAAAAATAAACAAATAATTTTACCATACAATAATTCACTAATACAATACAACACTACCTTATTCACAATTAAAAACTTAGACAGAAGGAAAAATAACTGGGCTATTATCGCAAATGATGATAACTCAATTATGCTGATTAAATTAATCAACATCCAAAAAAACAATTATGAATTCAAGGAATTAAACATAATCAACATAACCAATAATGGAATCATAACAGAAGTAACAGAACTCACTAACAAGATTGAGAATTGCAAAATATATAAAACTGGTAAAATCAAAATCAACAAAAAAGACAACCAAATCATTTGGAAAATACCATATTTAGAGCTGGTTCACAGTATTCCAAATCAAACCAAATGGTTTGATATCTTTAAACCAATTCCATCAGAACTATACAAATTGAACCATATGACATGGTACAAATTAAAACCACAATAAAAAATAATGATACACTATCAACAACATTAAACATTCAAAAAATGATTCAAAGAAATTTCACACATAAACCTATTGAATGCTTCTACATATCAAAACACCATAATCATAATAAAAATTCATCTAATATTTCATTTGCATGGCTTATACCAACAATCACGCCAATGCCCTTTCATGGCAAAGCTTACAATTACTGTTCATCAAATAGAGCAGAAGCAGAATGCATCAAACACATATTAGTAACAACCCCGTCCAACCAACACATCATAATATATACAAAAAATGAAAATACAAAAAAAATAATCAAAAATCAAAAAATAAATCTTAAAACTCAAAACTATCACATATGGTCATCAATAATTAAAATAATAATAAGCAAAGAATTGAAAATTGAAATAAAAAAATTCAATACTAAGTTAGGTGAACAAAAGGAAATTTACAACATATTAAAAAATACAATGGAAAACAAAAACACAAAACTAATTGAAAATAATACCAATGAAACACAAAACCTACCTGCAATTCTATGGCATGATCATATAATATCAATATATCCAAGAACTTTTATCAAACAATTACTACTAATTAAACACACAATTAACTGGATAAAACAAAAAGGCATAATTGGCACTTTTAAAGAACCACTAACATGGAAATACTTCAAGCCAAAAGAATATAAAATTAACAATTGCCAAGAAAACCAAAGAATAGAACTTTTCACAATTAAAGCTATCACAAAAAACTTACCCACAATGAACATACTAAACAAACGACGCTCAGATATATACCTGACAAATATATGCACCAGATGCAAAATCAAAAAAGAAACAATCAAACACATACTCTTTTGCAGTAAAACACAGCAAACATACAAAGCAAACTTTATCAACAACATAGATAAAATTATCAAACTACACTATTCTAACAAAACAACCCTAAACACAAAAACCAATTTAATAACACAATTAACTGATAACACTGATCTAAAGAAGCTAATCTTTTCACTCAGCATGAAGATAATTACACAAACTAATTACAAAAAAATCAAAAAAATATTCAATAACAAAACAAACAAAATTATCACACAATTAATTGAACAATTAAACCATGAGTTTTATAATGAATGGAAGGAAAGAAATAAAAAACTTATAGAATGGGAAAATAAAAGAAAAATCACAAAAATTGAAAAAAGAAAAAAAACCACAAACATAATAGGGATTGGATCAATTTCTACCACTAGTCACACTAACAACAATGACAACCTTGAAAATATTAAAAAAATCCAAGACCAAGCTATACACAATTGGTTCATTAAAGGTTGGTCCAGACACAAAACAATTGAATAACAAACATACATACAAATATGTATGTTTAACAATCCTCAACTTAAAGTAGTTACTCACCTACTAATAAAGCACGAATGTGCAATTTTTATTTAATAATATATAATAAAATTAAATTTAAAAGGTGGGGCAAAGATTGGTCACGATGTATATACATGTGGGTAAAGTTTTCATAACATGAGGGAATTATATATGTATTTAAAATATGTATAAAAATTAATTCTTAATAAATAAAACTAACAATCTTTTGCAAAAAAAAAAAAAAAAAATAAAATAAAAAAAAAAATAAATTTACTTAATACTGAAGAATAACCACTTCGTGTAGAAGGTACATCACCAACTGTTGTCTAATATAACAAATATTTATTAATATCTTTCAGTTGAAAATATTATTACTGATATTATATAACTTACAATTTTAGACCATGAATTTTGATTAATATTATACAAGTATATCTAAATATAATATGTATTATCAGAAAATATAACATTTTCATTCCTTTTATTTTAATTTAATAATAAAAGAATAAATTATAATATTACTTTAGTTGTAACAAGATCAAGGTAAAGTATATTTTCATCATTCAACACATAACAACTGAAATTAAATATGCTTGTTGAAGATGGACTATTACTTGGTGTTAAGGTTGTAAATATCAAACTTTTGGAATTGAATTTATATATATATTGATCAGTATGAGTGAATATATATGTGTTTCCATTATTATCTTGTGTATATCTCATTACACCAACATGATTTAATTGTAATTGTCCATTTAGGGTTTCTGAAGTCCATGTATCAAATGAATTTGTATTTACTGAATAAACTATAGAATCATGAGCTGCATCTCTATGTCCAACTATAACAAAAAGTGTGTTATTATTAACTCCTCCTAGTGCTAATGATGCAAGTTAAATGAAGGTATTGCTGATTTTGGAACCATTGATTTTATTGGTAATGTTTGCTTAAGTGAAAATGATGTGGATAAATCTAGGTAAATTATTTGGTTTATAGGTTCTGAATTCCCAGAATATCCTCCAAAATAATAGAGTTTATCATTTAACACTATTGAACTATGACGACATATATTAATATCTAATGCTATCTAATAATAATAAATTGAAACTATCTAATAATAATAAATTGAAAATTATTATTAATAAATTTAATGATTTTAAATAGTTATGATGTTTCCATTTTTTTAAAAAAAATTTATAGTATTAAAAATAAATCTGCGTTGCCTTCAAAAATGAATATTCTATATAAGGAAATAAGTAAATTTTTGCTATTTCTCCAAATATTAAAAAATAAATCTATACCAGGTGTGCAATTAAAAATTTTACATGCAGTAAAGCAAGTGTTTGTTTGGTTATTATCTCCAAATATGCACCATTATATAGAAAAATCAATATTGGATTTATTGCTACCACCATCCTTGTTGAAACGCAAAATTTCTTAGCCAATTAAAATCTCCTATTAAATAGTGGTTCGCAATAAATAAATAGTGTGAATTCATAGAATATGTTATTTTACTATTTAAAAATCTTTCTTTGTGTGTGATAAACTTTCTTCATTAGAAATTTTAAAATATTACTTAAAAACAAAATGTTTAAAAAAACTGAAATAGAGGTTTTTGATATTAACTTTATTTAGCAAATTTAAGAAACCAGTCCCATTATATCAAAAATAAAAGATTAAATGAAACAATCGACAATAACTATTATAATTGTTGGGGAGCAGTGCTTATTTTGATAATTATATATTGGTATATCATATAATAGTACAGTTGACTCTGTTTATACCGAACCCCCTGTTCTGAGAATTTTTGTTCGTTATAGCCAGAGTTCGTTATAGCCAGCTAGATGTGTCACGTGATGGTAACATATATAATAAATAATTTAATTCAATAGCCGTTTATTATATTTATTGATCAGAAAGCTTATTTATAAGAATTATTTTTAAATATGAAGTTATAAAACATTCTTTTACAAACAGACTTTACTATCAAATATAAATAAAATGTAGATATAAATATAACTATTAAATATAAATAAATGTAGATATAAATATAAATAAAAATACTATCAATCTATCCAGAAGATTGATAGTATATGAATATTTGAACCCAAACACAATATTATATTCAAATAAAAATAAACTGCCAAAGCTACTCAATCATTTTATCCTCAAAATAGTGATTTAAGTCAGTTTGTTTAAGATTTTTTTGAATAACTAACCCAATCCGTCTATTTAATCCTCTCAAAATCTTTACTTCTTCACCAACCTCACCAAATTCTGGTCCTTGCTGATACAAATACTTTAAAACAGTATCTACTGACTCTTTAGCTACTTTATTACTTATTATCTCGATTTCTTCCATTGATTCAACTTCCTCTTCGCTACTCTGTTCCTCCTGGTTTACCATTTCTATTATATCCTCATCAGTGAGGTCTGTCCAAACATTCTCATCCTCAACATGAATGTATTCATTTGCTGAAAGATTGTTACTATTTGGTAACTTTTCAAGAAGCATTTCCAAATCTTTCTCCTCATCCTCGTCATTAATACTGAAAGGTTCAGTGATTGTTCTTTCTGGAAGAATGCCAGTTTTTAACCAGCAATTATGTATTGTTTGTTGTGATACATTAGACCATGCTTCTGCTGCATTTATTAAAGCATTATATACAGTATAATCAGCAAGTTTATCTGTAGTACCATCTTGAAAGTCGTCATATGCTTTAATTCGATTTTGAACAAATAGAGCTCTATATTTACATTTAAAGGAATGGATGATCCCAGCGTCACAAGGTTGAAGAAAAGTTGTAGTATTTGGTGGAAGAAATTCAACCTTTACATTATCCAATTTTTCTGCAATTTCTTCAAGAATAATATGCACTGGTGCATTGTCAATTAGCAATAGAATATTTCTATTTTGTTTTTTCATATTGTTGTTAAGTGTAAGGAGAATTTCGTTAAAAATGCTAACTTGCATCCAAGCTGTTTTATTCCAATAGTAATAAACAGGCAAGTTATTGTAATTTAATTTTTTCATTGCTCGAGGTCTCCGATGTTTGTGAATGAAACTAAGCTTCATCTTCTCTGTTCCCAGAGAATTTGCAGCAAAAAAAATTGAAACTCGAGATTTATCTTTTTTGTGACCTGATAGTTTAGCATGAGCCAAAACACGTGAAGGTTCCATCTTCCAAAAGAGGCCAGTTTCATCACCATTCCAAATATTTTCAGGACTATAAGCACCAAGAAGTGTCTGCAATGAAATCCGTTCGTTTTCTAATTGTTCAACAGATGGTGCACTTGCAGATTCACCTTGCTTTCTGAATTGACGAAGTCCATGACGATTTTTAAAGCCTGTCAACCACCCATCTGATGAATTAAAATCATTGATTGAAAATTGGGTTGCAAAATGGTTTGCTTTCTCTTTTAAAATATTGCCAGTAATGTCTTGTTGTGCATTAAGTGCATTATCAACCCAAATATTAAGAGCTCTTTCAAGTAGTGGCCACTTAGGTCCACGAAATTTTTTCAAATTATCTTGTTCAATTGTAATAGCAAGCCAACGTTCTTTCTCACTTAAGATATCAGTCACTGTTGCTTTCCCAATATTGTATTGTCTGGCAAGTTCTACGTTGCTTAAACTTGGA